GTAGCACAACTTCGCAACATCCGCCTCGAGGATGCCACAAGTTACTTATTTGCTTTATCAAAAGGCGGCGTCAAAACAAAAAAAATGTTCAATCAGAGGTGAACAGTTCTTATTTTATTACACGGGGAAAGTGCGCGTAATGTCATGACTTCAGTCTTGATCTCACATTCTTTGGTCACCCAAACCATTTCGTCTGGTCTCGCAGACCTCTTCAACCTCCAGCCTGCTTACATGGAGAGGACAGATGAGGACAAAGTTGACTTGCTTCAAACGAGCCTTCTCAAGGAGCTGCAAGAAGGGCGCCAGAGCATTAGCAGCAGTAGAGGAAGAAGTAACAACGGCAACGAAAACTCAACTGCACCCAACTGAAGACCAAACGACACAAATGGATATGTAAATGCTTCAATGTACCCAAAGCCATGGTTCGAATAGCAGTCGGTAATTCTGTCCGACTTTCACATTGTGACGGCTCCTGTCCATCGGCTGGAATTGTCTTAGCCACCACGGTGCACCGATATTCGGTATTCGGAAGCAGACCTCTAACTGTAATGGACTCCGTTTCGTTGTCCTTAGTTGATGCACTTACTGGAGCGCTGCCTTCCACCGCACTTACACAGGAAGCGAAGTAGGGTTGGAGGATGCCATTGTTTAGCGTCGGTTTCTTCCACTTAATGTAGATTTCTTGTGTGGATATTGCTCTCCCTTTGGCACGTTGTATTGGTGAGGGCGCTGAAGGAGTATAACTGGAGTAAGCCCTGGAAGGTGAGGTGCTTATACACCGCCTGGCAACACATTTGCACATTTTATTGCGCAACTCTCAGTGTTTAACTTAAGGCATCTATTTAGTATAGAACCCTTTTATTCAAATCTCCACTCCATAGTCAGGACTTGCACATCGACAGAGAAAGAAAAGCACGCTAATAAATGCTAGCCAAATGAGATGAATTCACTTTACCACTTGGCCACGTTCTAAGCGTTCTTTGGTTGAGGAAAATTTGATCATCTTGTTGATAACCACCCAACTCCAATACATGCATTGTATAGGATGTCAGTTCGTCAAAATCTACTGATCCATCCTCCACGCTTGCACTCGCCTCCTTTGCTTCCTCCGACCCGTCTTCTGGCTTCAAAGCCACTCTAAGCTCCTCTACTTTCATGCGTTTCAACTGGTTTACGTCCCATCGCACAGTGACTCCATGTAGCCTGAAGTCGAAGATTACGTCTGCTATGAATTTTGGCTTCTCTAAAACAGAAACAATAGGAACAGCCACGATTTTGCATTTGATAGCCCACAAGGCGGAGATACGTATGTCCACTCTTGTGACAAGGGCAGCCGAGGTAGGGCAACTCTTGGCCCGTTTGGGCACGAGGTGCACTCGTCGATTGACAGGGCGCCTATTTGACGGAAAGGATGTTCTCTCGTCACGATGCATGGTCCTTGCTCATTTACCGTGGAAATGAAGGTGCGCTCATGTCAATGGCGTCAGTCCACTGTGGACTGTGCAGAGCTCACCCAACATCTGCACATCATAATACTATCGAAAAATCTAACTCCTGTAATTTCAGTGAACGCCAGATAAGGAATTATTGCTTTTATTTTTGCTGCCTTCATCAAATTCTGTCACACGGAGAGCCCGGTTGCATGAAAAATTAAGCATCCTCAAATCAGTCTTCACTCACACTTATTTCACTGCCTGTCAATTTGCCACGAAGTAACAGTGGCAGTAGAGGCAAAATTTGCCGTGAAGAGGACTGTCCCCTTGTTAATCGACAATACTGAACCGTACTGAATTTTAATTCTACTTCACTTTGAAAATTAGTGGCACTAGACGAGGTGTCAATGTGTCGACGCACCTGGAGCCATGGTCCTAATGGGTCCTGATTTCACTTGGCTTTCGCATTGTGACGCCTCCTGACCGACCGCCGGCATCGTCCTCGCCGCCAC